AATTGAGCCATTAGGCTCGCAAAGTGCACATCATTAAGTTAATGCCAATTAAGTTGTTTCGGAATTTATCTATTTATGGCTGACTTCAGGTTAATGAAAGAAGTGTTTGAAAAGGCTTTCTGTTTATTTGAAAGTGGGGTGGGAAGGTGGATTGAAAGATATCTTTATGTTTTTATCTTGTCTTTGTTGATTTACATTTATGTTATAGGGGCAAAGCAGTTTAAAGCAGACCATGAAACTGATTTGCTGAAGTGTTTAACCAAATGTTTTACTCATTTATATGTTATTTTTTATTTGCAGCAATATCCACAAGCAAGGCTTCAAAGTATTATTAATAGTTTTGATGCATGAAATGACAGTTTGCACCATGAGAGCCAGACCATCCCCTCAGCAGCTGGTGGAGACCAAAACCAGAGCTTAAAGAAATTCTGGAGAATTACTTATCTCCAAGCTCTTCTTTTGATCTTATCAGTTTTCTGTCAGGATAATCCCACGGTGCTTCCATATTATTGAGGTCCAGGCTCTGGGGAGGCCAGTCCTGACTGATAATGTTCCACTGTGTGTATTCTGTCCAAGTATGTTTGTACTGCATTGGCAGTGTGCTTGGGAGCGTTGTCTGTAGAAGCTGTTGCCAATCAGACGCTTTCCATATGGTATTACATTGTGGATGAAAACCTGATGCTCCTTTTCTGCATTAATTTTCCCATCTATCTGTCAAGAAACTGGCTGAATGCAGAGCTAAACCATGACAGAGTCTCCACTGTGTTTTACAGATGGCTGTGATGCTCACTATTGCACGTGTCTGACCTCATCCGTAGATGTCGACGACAATTTGAAACAAAAATGTCAAATTTCAATTCGTCACTGCATAAGACTTGTTTCGCCCTGATTTTCAGTCCAGTTCTTATTAAATTTGTAATACCTCGGCCTTTTCACCCTCTTTCCATTCATTAAAAATGGCTTCTTGACAGCCACTCTCCAGACCATTTCTGATGAAGCTTCAGTAGGTGGATCAATTGACAAGCCAGATGTATCTCTCACATCCCGTGTCAAGAAAAGGCCTATTTCTAAGTGATGACTTTCAGACACTGTTCAGTGTCTTGAGATTTTTTAAAGTCACACTGCGTTCAATGCTGAGATAAGTTTTCGGCTAATAGCTCTTTTGGAATCACCTTGTTGCTGCAAAAACTGTTTTATGTCTATCAAACTATATTATCATTGGGATTTTTCAGACTCAACTAGAGAAATGGGAATAAAAACAAAAGAAAACAACAACAACAAAAGAAACAAATAAAAAAAAATAAAAACATTCATCTGAAAATGGTCATTGGAAACAAAATAAGAAGAAATGAGGAATGGTTCAAGACATAGTACTGCATATTTGCTCTGTATCACCTGGTTGTATAAAGAACAAAATATTTGTTTACATTTTACATGGTGGTTTGCTTTAGTTAATGGTGGGCGTATAAAAGTGGGTGAGCTTAAATTGCTTATGGACTCAAAAGTATGCATGCAGAATGCAGGTGTTTGATATATAAAACACATTCAGTTCTTCCCCATTTCCCCTAAAATAATAATTATACTGATGATAATAAACTCACTGTTCCCTCTCAATTTTTGTACCCCTGCAAAATATTGGTGCAGTCCCTTTACCAGTTGCTTATATTTTTATTTAGTTCTTAGATAAACTAATTATCTTGAGGCAAATAGCTCAGAGTTTAGCAGCAAACATGATTATTATGAAAGTTATTAACAAAATTGAGATATATCATAGCTCCCTTATAAAAATACTTAAATGCTGAGTGAGGTAAAGAGAAACAGCATGGACCTTGTAAACTCTCTATATGACACAGTATGATGCATATAACCCATGCCTTGGAGCAGCAGGGCAGGGTGGGTGCTTGTGGTCACTGTCTCTGCTCTCAGTGTCTCCAGTGGGCCCCCCTGCACATTTAACCCAGTGGCTTTCTGCCAAACCCCCAAGGTAGCACGCAATGAAAATGAGAGTGTTGCCTTAGGAGTTAAAAAAAGTTATGCTTTGATCATCCTCTTTGGCTGTTTATTCCCATGCTTGTTCAGCTATATCTACAGAATTAGTATTGCTGGTTAAAATGGGACTTTAAGTGCAATCGTTTAGGTTTTCTTCTACCTTACCATTATTGCTACCAAAAAGGTTGCAAATTGAGATTCTCCTTGTCTCTTGTCAACCACCAAGCCTGAAAAATACGTCATAAGGGACATGATACAGTAATTTGTGGTTTTGGCTATAAATATGATGCATGATACATAGAGAAACACAGTATGTTCATTTCCCCCAGAGGCTTTGTTAAGTGAGGTACCTGCTGCAATTTCATAACTTTAAATATATAATGTTCCACAGAGTCTTTTTCTAGAGGTGTTGCCAAAATGAGGAGTACACAGAGATATCGTCATAACTTTTAAGGTAATTAACAACTAAGTTTCTTAAATACTGAAGTAATTAAGAAAATAGATAGCTGGATAAACAATTCACTTCACTTCATATCAGCTTTTTATTATATAGCAACATATTACAACAACAGTTGTTTCCATCAATCCATCCATTTTATTCCACTTATCCTTCAGGGATCAACCTGTCAGCTGCCATTTCAATCATATATATTTAGTTGTATTATTTATTGTATTATTTAATTTAGTTTAGTTACTGTTCTTACTGTCTTGGAGCAACTGTGGCCACATAATTTCCTCAGGGATTAATAAAGTATTCTGATTTTGGTTCATAGGGTGCGAGACAGGGTGCACCCTAGACAGGAGGCCAATCTGACAAAGGGCTCAGTTGCCTCAAGGCGCTTTAAAGTGTAAGGTAAATGTATAACCCTACTATAATACAGAGAAATCCCCGGCAATCAGAAGACCCCCCTATGAGCAAGCACTTGGCAACAGTAGGAAGGAAAAACCCCTTAAAAGTAAGAGACCCCCAGCAGAACCAGGCTCAGCGTAGGGCAGCCAACTGCCATGACTGGTTTGGGGTGAGGGGCGGACAAGTAACTAATTTAGTATTAAGACAACAGCTTAATCTTTTTATTGTCATTTATGTAAGTTTCTACCGAGATCACTCAAAGAAATTATTAGTCTTAGGAAGCAAATACAGAACTTATCAAATAAATAGATCAGCATTTATCACGGCATACAGAGATAAATGCAGAAGTAATGCTTCTATGTTCCAATGCCAAACTGCAATGCAGTTCAGCACGATAAAAGGCTAAACTCTTTTCTAGTCATGTTAGCAGAGCTTAAAACTGATCATGTGTTTGGCTAGTTGAGTGTCTGGAGCATCAGCCTAGTGGATAATCAAAACGCCCCCCAAAAAGTACTTTATTCTGAAACGATGGATTTCATACTCCTACAAGGTTACACAGCAGCAAAGTTTGGCTCCTACCAAAAAAGAACAAAGTGGGAGGCCCCGCTGCACAAATGAGACAGAGGGTAAGTAAATCAGTCTCTAGGTCGAGACAGAGATGCCTCACAGGTCCTTAACTGGCAGTTTCATTAAATGGTACCCATTATGGCACAATTGTGTTGGTGTGCAGAGTGGTTGATATTGTTGTGTGAAAACCTTTGGCAGTTTCCCCTTCTTTTGAGGTACATTGAGTCTATGATTAAACTCAAACAGAATGGTGCACCAGATGCTCCGCTAGCAGAATTTATTGCGTCTTTAATCAGCAGTTTTCGGCGTGACGACTTCTGAAAATGGGCCTGTGTATGTCTGCGCAAATTCTTAAATGGTTTATGAAGAACGATCTCTTTAATTACTGTCAGTTTCAACATTTCTGATTAATATTTATGTCATATTCTACATTTTTTGCGTGACCTCAAACTTCGTGTGTGAGGACAGACATTTTTTAAAGGGTTTTTTTGTCACCTTAACATAGGATTCTCATATAGCAAGGGGACAAAACAATGTCAAGTATATTTTTAATTTGCTAAAAACAGTGTTGGAGAGAAAAAGTCCAAAACAATGTACACAGCTACATGCAAAAATCCAGACATCAGACAGTTCTTTTCCTCCTTAAATTTAGAAAAGCAAAAGCAGAAAATGTTCCTGTTTTCCTCTCTCGTGCTGACTTTGTGGTGACATGGATATTTATAATGGGAGACCAACGTCTGGATGCCTACCACTCTTTCCTCCATAACTGCTGATGTTTGCATCCAATCCATTCCTCTTTTATGTAAAATGATCATCAGTGCCATCCTGGATGATCCAGGCTTGCACCAAATTGGAAATATTACAATAATTTAACTCATTTTAATGCACAAAATGTTCTTTCTGCAGCCTTAGTTTATGTGGAAGAAGACGTATTCATACTTGTACCTGTGTATTTTTACCTTGTGGTTACTTATGGCTATTGGTCAACACAATCAAAGTGGGAAAAACATTTTTTGAGGTACAGCATCACCACAAGTGCTCAAAACAGCATTAACGGTCCCTGAGGATATCCGTGAGAAGGAAAGAAGTGGACGTAATCACGGGCCCAGATCCACCCAGTGGTTACTGGTCATCAGCACAACCCAAAGATCAGCCAATGACATGGAAGCAGCCCTCCCTGTCTGTCTATATAAGCTGAGAGGAACAAGTAAGAATCAAGGGAGGGGGGACACTCATATCTTTCAGCTGTCCATCCAAGATTGCTTATGATATAAAACTAAATGCGTAGATTGTTAAAATTATAAGGAGCCGATAGAGGAGATGTGGCAATTTTCCTGCATCCACATGAAAGCAAGAAGTTAAAAATACAGTTTTTTGGGGTCTTGTGAGTCACATCATTTTTATAAGAGCCTGAAGTTAAATATATCCATCCAGGGTGACACTTTTCAAGTTAAAGCTTAAGTCAAGTGTATTATTCGTGTAGCCTTTAATCCTAGCTACGCTCCCAAAACGCTTCTTAAGACCAACATTGTGGAACATCAAATGAACTTTAAGACCTGCAGTGAGAACAACGAAATCCCCCCCCCCCCCCCCCCCATTTATCTGTACTACAATTAGTCACTCAGCTCCAGCTGAAACCTTAAGCAGTCCAACCACATGCCCGAGTTAGTGCTGCTGCTTTAGGCGTCTCCTGAGCGCTTATCTCAAAATGCATCAGAATAAAGAAATTGCTATGGTTAGCCTTAATGACAAAATTACAGCACAAACAGACAAATACTTTATGACTTTAATGATATATGTTTAAGTGTTCAGATGATTTCCATGCTGTACATGTGGACGCACTGGAGTTTGTGTGATAGTTTTTGGAAGCTCTCTAATGATACAGGAATGATGCTGGGGAAAAAATATTCTATAGATGGTGCAGACATGTCATTTGCTTGCTCGTAAAATTAGTTTATTAAATTAAAGTGACTCAAAACTTTGACCACAGTGTTTACGTTCCAGTTTTAAACCTGCAATTGTGATTTCTATTTCAGGGTGTAATAAACGTTTATTAATGCTTGTGCTGAATAAAAAAAGTCTCTCACGTGCAGCCTCTCGGTTGTTGACTGTCTATTTCCAGCTCTGTGTACACAAATATACACAGTGGAAACCATGATGGCAGGGATGTATATATACAGCAGTGGAGGACGGCCATATTCCTTCTGGTCATCAGGGTGACCACAGGTGGTTTCCATGTAAAATACCACTGTCTGATCAGTGAATATACACCCCTGAGGGTTTTTCTCAACTGACTTTATTGCTCTTGATGTCTACAATCTGTCTAAAAATGGTTGCCTGCAAAAACTGCATTGCTTGTTCTTTTCCAGTTTGAATCCCTTTGTTTAAACATTTTTTTTTTAAAATCTTAGTAGCAAAGTTGTCCTTGACTTTGATTCTGGTAGAGTCTGGCTCTATGATCAGACCAATCATCAGGTTGGAAGCAGAAATGTAAAAAATGAAGGAGATTCTTAAAAGTCCAGTGAGAAAAAAAAGTCTGTTGTTATAATGCAGAGTAGCCCATGCAGCTTATGTGCACCACCTCACCTCGCAGGTTACGAACAAAGTGTGGTTCTGTAAGTTCTCTCTGGCAAACTCTACATTTCTGCTCCTTGTCCACTCTGAACTTTGTTTTTGAGACCTGCATCTGCAGACGAGAGAGTAAAAGTGCAACAGGGCTCATAAAGAAAAAGGAGAAATTCAGTGTTCACTGCAGTAAAAATGTGAACTGTATCATTAAACTCACCCAAGTGACCTTGTGCCTCAGGAGCTCCGCCTGGGCCAAAGCCTGTTGCAATCTCACCATCTGCCTCTGGTGGAAGGTTTCCCTGAGGGATACGACTAAAAACTGAGAGACCAGTTGAACAGACCAGGACTCAGGAAGGAGCTGGAGTACCTTCTCCAGTGCAAAAACATGAGGTTGGCTGTTAAGAAGATCCACAGCTGCGCCTGTGAGATCCTTGGAGCTCAGGTAGATTTGGAGAAGAGTGAGCAGGAGGACCTCCCTGAATTGTGAGTCCTGGTCCTGGGCTGCCCTGCAGCAGTAGGCCTCTGCAGCCTGGAGGTCTTTCTCCTCATGTACAAGCATCTGCAGTGCTTGGTAGTGTTCACCAGACCTACCAAGGAGAATGGCCTTTTCTGGGTGTAGGGTTGTTGACTTTACTCTGTCTGCAATGAGTTAAAAATCATGACGTTTACTTTAACTTGCTGCTAATTCCACAATGATTTATTTTAATACGCAAACTAATTCACACACCATGCACTGTGGAGATGTTATAGAATTTGGACTCCCATAGCAGCTGCTGCAGCTTCCCTCTGGTCACCCTCACTCTTTCATCTTCCTTTTGCAGCATCTGAGTAACATATGCCAGGGCCAGACGGTTGTGATGGCTCTCTTCCTGGGGGCAGATTACATCAATCATGTCTGCGCATTTAATTTAGGTTATTAGATTAAGGAGCTGTTGGTGTACCCACCTCGCTATTTAAATCATGGATTAAGTACTCAAGATAGAAAATCAATGCCAGTGGAAACGTCTCCAAGAATGTGAGGACATCTTGTGTTTCAAATTGACCATCTGGTGGGCGCTTGATGAAAATCTGCACACCTGTCTTTATCAAATAAAGTAAAATGTATTTAATCACTACAAATTGGTTTATAAGGCAATTTCTACAAAAAAGGTGGTGCCATTTAGAGCTGTTGACGTATACAGTTGCAGATACATTTATATTCCAATAATCTTATGGGATTTATCGGCATTTAAAACAAGAATTTAAACGTAAAAAAACCTCTGGCTCTGCCACTGACTTTATGTTTGACAAATTGCTGCCATATGAGCACAAAGTGGCCCTTGGTTTTTCAATCATATCTGCCACACCCTCATCAACTTCAGTTTCATTAAAACAAGACGATGACAGCCAAAATGATCAGCTCAAGGCTTCAAAATAGGAGTACATAAATCACTGGTTGATGTCCACATATACAGTATATGGTTTATGTAGGCCAGAGACAGATTAAAGGAAAAAAACACCTCACTGTTTCTTAGTAAAGCATGGGAGTGGGACCATGAATCACTTTAGCAGCTTTAATGCACTTTACCATTTATTTATTTAGCATTTCTCAGACTCTGATGGAGGGATGGAATATGATTCTTTCTAAAGATAACCCCTCATTTGGTGTTTTGATGATAGTGGTTCAATGCACTACCAAACCTTAAAGGTCACTGCAGGTGATTCAGACAGTTTCATATGTATTTAACCATTGAGTGACTCTACTGCAGATGAGGGTATCAACGTCCTGGAAGAAGCCATTCCACCAATCAGACAAAGCAATTCAGATTTTCCTTTAATTTGTCACTTTTCTATGTCTGCAATACATAGTTGTATTGTACAACTCTGCCCTCTGCAGTTTGGTAGTGAGTGTGAAAAATGAAAAAGGCACCTCTTGGTTTCTTTGTAAAGTCCAATCTGCAAATGCCCACACGGTGTCTTTGTCTCTGAGCTGACTGAGAGTCGCCACGATGTGTCCATATACATCTGAGCAGGAAGAATCTTTACACAAGCCATCTGTAATCTTCACCCAAGTCTGGAAGAATACAACCAGTTAAAATACACTGTGTGAACATATGTGATGTTTTTTTGGATTGGGGGGGTGTACCTTTACTGCATCAGTGTGCAGCCCGTGGCTTTCGTAGAGGGAACCTAAAGCAAAAAATCTGTAAAAAAAAAAAAAGAAAAAAAGAAAAGAGGTCAAAACGATTCTCAAAAAGTAAATTATCTGAAATAAATAATCTAAAATCAAAAGCATGGTTGTGTCCTAAGCAAAATATTCAGATTTATAGGTGTGATTTCAGATCATTTGTATAACTAATAATGATTCATTTTCACCTGTGGTGTTGCTCCAGAACAGGGACACAGAGGTCCAGACTGCACTTACTGGGAAAAGCAACAAGCTGTTGGAGTTTTTCATCATCGTTCATTTCTACATACAGCCTCAGGAGGGTGCTGTCCACTTCCTTACTGCACTTCAGGCCTCTCTCTGTCCCCCTTACTGCTCTGAGAAAATCTCCCAGGAAGGCCAGGTAATGATGAAATTTGTTTCTGTCCTCCTTCTTGAGCACCTGGAGATCTCTGCCCTTGTTTATTTGATCAAGATGAGATTGAAAGTCCTCGCTGAGACACATATCCGGGTAGAGGCGGATGATTTCTCTCGGGTCCAGCTCACCTTTACTGTTCAAGTGGGTAATAAGTATACATTTTTACATATGGAAGAAGCAGAAAGTACACATCTTTAAAGCAGTGTTCTGAGATTTATTTAGCATGTATTTTGGAGTGTTTTGTTATGGGAGAGGGAGTTTGGTCTCACATGAATAGATCTTTGGCTTGGGAAAAACCCTCCTGGTAAAAATGAGCAAATCCAGCCAGGCAAGTGATGGCCTTCTGTAGCTCCTGCGAGGGGAAAATAGTCTTATTTTTAAACCAGGCACATATTGTATGAGCATATTTAACGCACCAATATGTGAACTGAAATAACTGAGGCAGAAGACACTGTGACTCTCTTGAGGCTAAAACGTTACACTTCAAGAAAAACAAGTAGCAGAAAAATGGGAAATGTCTATGATTCATGATTGTGTTAATTAGCCTCTTCATCTTTAACCTGTAAGCTGAGATGTGGCACAGATTACGCTAAAAGTCAAACGGCATCTGCTGCCTTCAGTTGCATTCATCAATATCGAATATACCTGCGTATACTCTCTGTAAGGTAACAAGTCTATGCTTTGACAGTCCGATCAATGGTAAATTCAAACCATGTTATGCATTTCCAGTTGGGTTTGTAATGCATGAATCTGAAAGTCAATATGATTGTACAAAGCAGCCGGAGCTACAGCAGCACACAAGCAGGCAGCAAAAGTAAAAGATTTGGAGGCTACCTGATAACGCCAAAGCTATATTTTAAAATCAGTGTGATGTGAGTTTGCATCCTTCAGTGTGCCTATAAATTCTGTTTCACCTTGTATGAGTCAAGTGGATGACGGCTTTGAGCCCCTTCCAGCAGCAATAAGGCCTCCTCAACCCTTTGGTGCCTTACAAGTGCCTGGATCTGCTCTTCGAATGGCACCAGGCTCAGGCTGAAAATGTCTCTCTCTGTGAACACTAACACACCATCTGAGGGGACATTTGCTTTTGGTTTTTAGAAACTCTCAGAAGGCGCAAGAACGACTGACTATATCTGAGCAAACTGAGACAAGCATGACTACGTCTTTTAAAAACAAAAGCAGGCTCTTTGCGATCAATCTGACCTGGATCAGATGAGAAACTGATGTCGCTGGATTTACCTGAAGTGGAAAGTAGACCCCTTGCTCCAGTGAGACTCACAGTCTGTTTGCGTTGCTGATCCAACATGCTGTAAACAGACAACAGTTCGGGCTGCAGGCTTAGGACGTAAGGGAAACATGCCCCGGCTGCCAGCACCTCCTGAGGCCACTGAAGGGGAGGGCGCTGGCATATCCCTGTCTTCATCACAAACATGCCTGAGGGATGAGAATGGAGAAATGATATCTTGGCAAAATAAATATCCTCTGGCTAGATGGATTAATGACTTATGAGTGATATGAAATGAGCTGTTTTAGAAGCTAAGCATAATGGCACATGAATGTAAAGCCTGTTGGATATTTTGGCAGCTCTTACCTAAAAATTCGGGCCCATTCAAGAGGAATTCTCCTTCTCCCAGTGAGGTAACGATAACATGCTGCCTGCTGTGATTATGAGGAAAGAGCTCCTCACAGCTGCCAGTCTGAATATCACAGAGGAGGTACCTGTCACTGGTGGCAAGACACAGAGTTGCACCATCCACCGCCAAGGCCACAGGGTCTTGGAGCACAGAGACTTCCTTTACAACCTCCCACCTGTCCACTCCCACCACATGGATCCGGAGCACTTTCCTGCGGCTGGAAGACGTCACCATCTGCACACACGTCCCCTCCGATGCGAGCAATGAGTCGCACACCTCAAACAAAGACACATGCTGGATCTTCTTCAGAGCAGGAACAGGCTCTAAGGAAAACATGTTGAGGGCAGTAACGCTCCGGTCCCACAGGACCAGCAGATGGTTGAAAAGTGGGACTGCCCTCAGTTGATTTACAGAGTTGCTTGAGCCTAGTTTTCTTGCTCTACCTTCTCTGATTTTGGTCAGGCCAGGGCTCTTGTCTCCATTTGTGCTGCTTGTCAGAATGAGGTGTTGGACTGTTGCATCTTTAGTCCCTATGTAAACATTTTGGTCATAGCACTCAAGGCACTGGATGCAGGATTTGTCCTCTTTCGAGACTGCTCGTTTTTCATATATGTGAGCTTGTCTGAAGGCACTAAAAGCCATTGCAAAAAAGTATTAATGTTGAATAATGGGATGCAGTTCAAGCAGAAGAAAAAGGAGTTCTTTCAAAAGTCACTGATATATGCTTAAATCAAAGCTAAACACAGTAAGATGTTCCTACCTCTCTGTTGTCCAACCTTCCTCTAATTCCTCTACAAGTTTATGAAGTGTAAAAAAGTTACAACTCCCCCCATGTGACTATATCCTGACAGGAAATCTATGTCAGCATTTTTTACCGCTCATCCTGCCATGTGAGGACACTTACACAACTCATCCAACAGCCTCACCAAGAAAACCAACTTTTACAAGTTCATGGTGAAGAAGATGGATATTTTTGAGGTGGCCACAGTTACGGCTTCTTGTGTTCTTGGTATGCGCGTAGGGCTGAAGCGGTCACTTTGGTCAGTGGATAATGGACAAGCAGAAGCGATCTGCTGATCGTGGTTTGTTTGAGTTTGTTTACAACGTCCGTGAGATGGGTGTGATGAGGTCAAGAGGCAACAGAAACACAGCAAGGGGGATTGTTTTATAGCGATGATTGCCCCAAGGATGACTGAGAGAAGACACTGTGGTCATAAAAACAGAAAAAAAAACCTACCACCGCAGCTACATCTGTTACAGTGAACTTTGTGCCCTCTGTCCTCACTATGGAATTTGAGTTAAATATACAAAAGGCCCGGAGCAGATTAAGTTATGATGAGATGAACAAAAGCAGTACTAAAAAGATCTATATGGCAAGACATATTTCACCTGAGGCAAATCCAAAAATCATGCATCATTTATTGTTTCTTTAGTGTGGATACGTTTATATCTAGGCACAACAGATGTACAATAAACTGCATCAGACAGCTAATGATTGCTTTGTCATCAAGAAAAACATACATGCCAGATTAACTTTAAAATCTGTGTGTGGGTGTGTGTGAGTGACATACAAGAGATAATGTCTTCTTTTTAAAAAAAAACAAACACACTAAAATAATGACACTTGAAGGCTTTTTATGTGCAAGGCATTCTTGTGCGAGACTTTCGTAGATCCACAGTATTTCTATCAGACAGCAGGCGTTGTTGTCATTTGGGTAGAGCTGTGATCCTGGCATGTAAAGGTCATTTGTCCCTCCCGCAGTCAGTGCACAAAATGTTGTCACGCTGGGTGAGGAAGCCACGCCCCACCAGTGACACAGAGCACTGCATGCAGGTGAAACACTCACTGTGCCACTGGCGTTCCTCAAAGGAGATGTACTTGGCTCCTGCCAGACCTGCATGCATCAGAGAGCCATGCATTTATGTCAATGTAAAATCATCACCTTGTGTTGCTAACACTCCCTCGACAACACAAACTTAAAAGCTTAAATGTGAGTAGAATGAAAACTCACTAGTAATGGGCTTGGTGCAGCCCACACACTTCTTTGCGTATAGGTTGCTGAAGCACTCCAGGCAGTAGGGGTAATTTTCTCTAGTGGTGAAGCGCTGGCCTGACAGCTGCTTTCTGCATCCAATGCACAGAAAACACTCGCGGTGCCAGGGCTTCTCTTGGTAGGTCACCCCACCTGTTGTGATGGCCTAGAAGAAGCACAAGCAAGAGAAATAGAGCGCTTAGCAAAAAGAGACATACAGTGCTATTCCCATTTCTTCCCTTTATTCTCCTCCCTGCAGTGTGACTAACACAAAAATGCCAGAGTCAGGGGGATTTACTGTAGCACTCAATACACGTAATCCACTCAGCTGTAACCCTACCTTCTTACAAGCGGAGCACTGGTATGCAAACTGCTTCTCGAAGCAGGCCACACAGAAGTAACCGGTGTCTTTAGGGATGAAGGACTTGGTTCCTATTGGCTGCTGGCAGCGGTGACACAGGAAGCAGGTCTCATGCCAGCTGTTCCCCTTGTATTCCATTTTGCGGGAACCTGGCACACGGGACGAGAGCAGCTTAGTCAGCATATGGTCCCTCTATGACAGAAACACACCGCGGCCCAAAGCTGGCCTGCTTTGTCTGCAGGGAGGGGATGATGCAACTGAAATAATCTTGGAAAGAATTTTAGGCAAAGGAAGAAATTCTAGTCTTTTGAACTCTTTTTTTTCCCCAATAAGAAATAAATGTGTGTAATAAAAAGAAATAAATGTGTGTAATAAATGTGTGTAATAAAAACTTGTTGAATTTAGATTTTCCCAGGCATATCTTTTTGTTCATTGTAGCTTCAAAGTCGATACTTTAAGAGGTTTCACCAATTCATTGCTGCCTTATCCTTAAATTTTAGCCATAACCTCTGAATATATATTTAACACTATATTATGATCTAGCTTTCAGGTGACATTATCCAGTACCATCATCACTGCATGTACCTGGCATGATGGTTTTCTTGCAGGTGGTACACTTGGAGGAGTAATCCTGTGCATGGCACTCAGTGCAGAGCAACAAATCATCCTTGGCGGCAAAGGCCTTTTCCACTAGAGAGCGGCTGCACTTGCCACACTTGAAGCACTGCTCGTGCCAGTGACGATCCTTATAGGAGAGATCCTGCAAATATTTTGCATGTGATTATTATTGATGTTCTGTAAGGCTAATGGTTCATTTAACAGCTCTAAAACTGAAATCCTTCCACATTTCTCATCTACAGACTCAAACCACTAACCTCACATTCTCATCTCGCACTACACTATTCTCACTGTCTACACTGTTGCTTCCTTACCTTGCAGTTACAGCCGATTGGTAAGGAGCACGCCTCGCAGTTGTTAGCGAACAAGTTCTCGTAGCACTTAGTGCAGTACTGCGTGTCATCTTTCATTATGTACTTCTTCCCCAGCAGGGAGTCTTTGCAGTAATGGCAGTCTAAACGCTCGCTGGTGGGCATCTTATTTGCTTTTCTTAGCTGCAGGTCAAAGAGAGCAGAAGGAGAAAAAAATGAACAATAAGGAAGAACAGGAGAGATAGGGAAAAGTAATAAAAGTCCAGGCAATTTATCCTCTTTCTCATCAAGCAAGTAAAGAGGACAAGCAATTTCCCCTTCTTTCAAAAATAATTTAAAGGGGAAAAAAACAACAGTGTTGTATTAAAGAGTTCTCTACCTCAGTTGATTCAGGGTGAGGATGAGACTGAAGCCAGAGACTGCAGAGGCACAGGGATGGGGCAGGGATGAAAAGGGGTCAGGCAGGATTATGGGGTATCCACTAGGGGGGCTCTTCTATAAATACAGGCCCTCTTATTAGCAGTGATCTCCGGGGAGAATGGACATACTTCACTGCATCGTTCTGCACCTTTTAAGGGAGTTGATGGTGTGCTGATCTCTAAGCCTTTGGACTGATTTATTCTTTGTTGTCTCATCCCCCAAATGCAAAAAAGCAGAGAGATTTGCAACTTTAGCACAAGAAGATTACTGTTGGGAAACATGACTGACCACCATATAAATAATGTAAGGCTTCCAAATCAGTTTCACATGTATACAGACAGTACATTAAAAGAGAAGATTTGAGCTTGAAAATGTTAAATCTTTTCGACACACTATTATCAGCTTGGACAGTGGTACCACAGCAGAGATAGTTAGTCATTTGGATGCTGTAACATGTCTGGACACACTTGTGGCCTTTGTCAGTGCCTCCTACACACACAAGCAGTTGCAGATGGCTTATGAGAAGTAGGTGCCAGCAGCTTTGTGACTGCCAGGTACTGAACTATATTGCCAGGACCTCTCAGTGGCTATTGAGAGCACCTTGGCAGCACTTCAGAAGGGTGAAGCTGCGTGCTTGTGGGCCTTCAATCCATCCCCAGCAAAATAAGAGAGGAGGAGCAGTAATGACAGTTTAAATGGTGACCATCCTGCTAATAGCGATACTCTTGTTACTCCTCTCGTTCTTTCCTACCCGTTTAAACATTTAAATTCACCTACGTCTTTGATTGACGGTTGACTAATTGCATTTGAATCATGGAACATATGCTCCGATCAGTTTTCCAAAGGATCAGGGGAGCAGACATCTTCATAAAAATAGCCTGGGAAGACCACCAGCCCGACCCACTGGTTTAATCCCTCACACACACACACACACACACACACACACACACACACAGGAAGGTCAGTGACAGTGATGAGGCTGACAGGAATGCAGTTTTGTGTAGATGAACTCTATTCCCCTTTGTCTTCTCCCTACATTAACTCCAGTAGCACTCCTTGTGAAGAAATTCATCTAGAATTACACTCTGGTACTAAATCCATTTTGGGATCAGCAGATGATGCTGGTACATGGTTTTGCAGTGTATGTAGGCGGTATCTACAAACCTCTGAGGGATAATGTAACACCATGCTATTTTTTTTTTACCTACGCTATATGTGTTATGTTAGGCTTTAAGCACAAAATAACAATTTCATGTCAGTAATTCAGGCAGGCTTTTTGTAATACATTTAAATATGTATATATATTTCTGATTTCAAGTCATAGCATCCTTCAGGTTCGTCTTAATTCTAAGCAGATCCACTGGATTACACCAAATTGTCTGGTGCTCTGGATTAAGTTATCACTGTATTGAATCCTTGTCTCCCACTGCTCTTCATAGCAGTGGCTGCAAATTAAAAAGCCACACAAAATATAAACAAACCAAGCAACCCAACTGTAGGACCAGTGCAGTCACTGCCTTGCGAAAGCTTCTAATCTTTGTTGCATTGCTTCTCTGTATGTCTGTCGTCATGTGACACGCAGGCAGGGAGGAGGTGACCTATATTCTCCACCAAACAAAAACTCTTACTCCTCTCCCTGAGTGTGTTGCCATAATACGAAAACCATGAGAAATAAATTGCATGTCAACCGCCAGTGTTATTCATTGGATATTAAAGCGGAGATTATTGTTTATTGCAGCTCTATCTGATAATCTGTGCAGGCATGGTTGTGATTTTATTATCGTGGCTTTGATTTGTATCTGATGGGAAGCAGGTGCTGGTTGTTGTCTCTTGGATTATTAACTTCTAGAGCACACAGCGCCAACTCTGCCAAGCAAAGAGCTTGCTGATCTTGCATATTCCTTTTTGCCCCCATAATCCTCTGAAGTCAGCAAGTGGGCAACTGCCAACAGATTTCTTATGTGGCCTGTCAAGCCCCAATAAATAGGCCTTTATTTGACCTGGACTCAGGTGTCCTCTTATCTTAATGTATTCAGGCTTTACAATAATCAAATGATCGCAGAGAAGAAGAGAAGCATTTACTTTGGTGGCTCCTTTGAGGTGGTGACTTGTTGTAGACTGAGACAGATCAACACGACACAGTTGCATCTCTCTGAAGCACAAAAGCCTCACTGCACCAAAGCTGACAGCTGGTTGGCATGGTGATGACAGCATAAGTGGGATCCATTAGATTGAGATGAGGAGCTGCCCCAGTAGTTAATAAGTGGACTCACAGAAAGCTGCCCTTTGAGCAGGCCTCTGTGCTTTTCTGCCATGTGGAGAGTCTGCTTTCAACACAATATTTCTAACTGAACAGGATAGCCACACTGGGGGGTCGCTGGGGGGAGGAAGATACAATCTACTAAGTCTACAATCTCACAAAACATTACACCCCTTCTGGGAGGCCCCGTGAATGCCGGGGTAATGCCTTCACCAACTCTGCTCCTCAATCCACACTCTAGTTCTCACCAAAGTGAGTCATGGTATGAGCAAGTGACAAGATGTGCTACAGAGCCAGAAATCTGATCGCATTACTAAAGAGGAGACAGAATTGTCACCTCTTAGGCATGTAGAGCCGGAGACTTTGTAGAAGAAGGACTTTGCTACAACCCACTGAAATGTTCTCTGGTGACTTGCCTTATTTTGTGGTATTTGGATCAGCTGTAGGTAAAGTTAGCGTTTCACTTCGAATGACAGTGTAGCGCTGAATGTTAGAATTTTTGTAGGCATTTGGAAGTATTTAAATTCTAACATGCCTTCTAGAAAGCTTCTCTTCTTTCTTCTGTGTTCGGCAACACCGTCCTGTAATGGTAGCTTCATGCTTACTGAAAGACAAGCAGTGAAGTATAAATAAACAAGTGTAATGTAAACATGCTTCAGATTCTTAGACAATTATAAAAAAAAAAAACCCACACACTCATTAGTGTGGTAGGAATTTAAATGTTTAAAAAAATAGCTGGTGGGAAATTTTGGAACTAATTAGGTTAATTGGCAACACATCAGTGTTGGTTTTGGGTGTTGGTATTGGGTATCTTAGAGAGGCATAGTTTTTCAAAAGTGGGCAGAGGTTCACCAGTCTACAAAAAACTACATCTAACATAACAGTTATCGTCTAGACTGCATAATATCATCAAAATATTCTGGGAGAATCTTATGGAGAAATTCTCAGATTAAACATTTTCAGTTTTCCGTGTTTTATACAGTGAAAAATGTGGATTTGTGAGATTTCCTAATCACTATATTCTGTTTTTATTTACAGTTTAGGCAGCTTCCTTTTTTGGAAATGGGGTTGTTAAAAAAAAAAAAAACTAGGATAGAAGCTAGAAGGAAGATGAAAGGAAATGCAAAGTGCAAAGTGAGTGATAATTACCTCCAGGTTCATCGGTACAAGTCATCTCTGATATGACCATTGTGAAATGTTCTGTATTGTGTGCAACAGAGCAAATGTGAAATCTACAGTTAGGGACAGTGACCCTTGTCTGTGGCACGGACAATCTCCCAACCACCGTCTGAACTTTCACATTAATCCCCAATTGACATGGATGGATTATTTCTGCCACTGATCTCAGCAACACCCATGTTGACCTGTGGCGTTGAGTGGAGGTACTTGACAAAACTGTGTCATCTCTGCGTGGTGTATTGGATGACTGGAAATACCAAAGTACCAGTGAGGATATGGGGTAACTAACAACAGCCGGAAGATTGATTTGTAACCACCACAACACTCTCTTGTCCCTCTCATCAATCAGTTATCAAGGCTTTTGGATGGCTATTTATACTGCCGCCTGCATTACATGGTAATGTAGAACAGTGTGGGCATTGAGTGTGGAAATGACATTTGATATAGATGCAAGAATGCACATTAGGTAGCATCCTGCAAAATATTTCAAGCCAATTCTCATTTTTAACTTGAAAAATGAGAATGTTGACATAATATTTATAAGACAAATTTAAAGGAATAGTTAGGAAATAAGCTTATTTGCTTTCCTGCCAAAATGCAACTGATACAAATGTCATGTCTGTGTAAACGCTATGACACTACGGCAGCAGCTGTTTAGCCTAGCTTAGCTTAGCTTAGCATAGTTACAGGGGAAACAGCTGTATGGGGATTAAACAGGTATTTGTTTAACCCCATTTAAAATGGTTGTGCTGCTTTTATAGAGCTCAGCTTCACTACAAGAGTTTGTTTGTTTTCAATTTTTATGCTAAGTTATGCTGGCTAGCTGGGTTTATAATAATAATAATAATAATAATAATAATAATGTATACTTTATTAATCCCCTAGGGAAATTATTCCTCTGCATTTAACCCATTCACTCAGTGAAGCAGTGGGCAGCCACCAATCCAGCGCCCAGGGAGCAGTATGTAGGTACCTTGCTCATATAGAAGTGGATTTCCAAATGTGTAAAAGCAAGCATTATGTTTTTTTCCAGATCGTTTTAGCATAATCCAGCCATCCTTTGTCATGTAATACATTATGAACGAGCATCATTGGAAAAAAGAAGAAAAAATCATTAGTTTGTCCAAATCTTTATTTTCTTTTTGACACTATCAGCCATATACAGTAAAACACAGCAGCTGGCAAGATACAACGATGGCGAAAAAAAATTAACTGACTTCTAATGGATTATTTCAGTGAACTGGCCTCAAATGGTACCTTCTGGAGAAACAACATCCCACCTAACCCCTAAAACTACAGTGTTTTGTTTTAGGGAAACCAGGTCATATAGCATCTAGAGAATTACTCTCCGGTGCAGCAGCGATCCACGAACAAATTTAAACAGGAGGATAGACAAGCTAAAGCTCCTTTTCTTTGTTTTTGTGCAAAAAAAAAAAAAAAAAAAGCAAAGAGAGAGAACATGAAGGAGACAGAAGACACCCAAAAAACTGTTAAAAAACCAATTCCTGTTTCAGTTCACTATATTGTTTGAATGCAGGGTCCACTATGACATTTGGAACCATACTCCATAAGAAAACAACTGTTTTTATTCTATTTTGCATCAGTGGACACATCAAGGATGAGGTGTAACGC